GGAGGAGGAGGAGGAGGAGGAGAAGAAGAAGGAAAGAGGAGAAGGAGGAGGATGACGGAGGAGACGGAGGAGAGGCGGAGGAGACCTCAGAGACGGAGGAGACCTCAGAGACGGAGACCCCAGAGACGGAGGAGACCTCAGAGACGGAGGAGACAGGACCTCAAGCTAAGATGCTGCGAATGCAGTTTTTCGAGGGTCTCTAGCGAGGGCCTCATGTTTAACGAAAGACGTCTTCACCACACGGCTTCCACATCTCAATTGTTCGAGGATGTCTCAGGCGAAACGGCAATTTCCAACGATTCGCTGAATTTCGTGAGCGAGCTCCGAAACTCATTGTTCGAGGATGTCTCGAGCGAGAGCCGCATTTTTTACAAACGACGTCTCAACTACACGGCTTCAACATCTAATTTGTTCGAGGATGTCTCGAGCAAAACGGCCATTTTGAGCAGAATCCGCCAACGTATCAACATTTACAATCGGGAGTCAGTTGTCCCTCGCGAGTTCGTTCTTTATATATACCTCACTTAGAAGCATGCTAGAAAACTCCCATCACCTTCTCGTTCTGAGAAGGCGCTTCCCGTCATCGGCCAAATTCGCGGGACACGTGTTTGAAAGAGACCCTTGGTAAGAGATTTCCCTCCGGGCCGAGGAGCCACGTCCATCGCGCGCCTCTTCGAGTCTATGCGCGCTTCCCGTCATCCGCCACGTCCCGGTCAAGGCCCGATCCCGCCACCACTCCTCCCCTGGACCCATCCATTTGATACATATTTTCCCTCCGGGCCGATGAGCAACGTCCATCGCGCGACTCTTCGAGTCAAAGCGCGCTTTCCGTCATCCGCCAGGTTCGCCAGACACGTGTTTAAAGAGACCCTTGGTAAGAGATTTCCCTCTGGGCCCGCAGCAACGTCCATCGCGCGACTCTTCGGGTGTATGCGCGCTTCCCGTCATCCGCCAAGTTCGCGGGACACGTGTTTAAAGAGACCCTTGGTAAGAGATTTCCCTCCGGGCCCGCAGCAACATCCATCGCGCGACTCTTCGAGTCCTTCCCCCCTCAGACTCCCCCCAATTGAAAATATTTCCCTCTGGGCTGCACCAACGTCCATCGCGCGACTCTTCGAGTCTATGCGCGCTTCTCGTCATCCGCCAGGCCTTGATCACGGAGCAACCCCGAGCCCGTCTCCCCTCAGATTCCCCCCAGTTGAAAATATTTCCCTCGGGGTCTACACCAACGTCCATCGCGAAACTCTTCGAGTCTATGCGCGCTTCCCGTCATCCGCCAGGTCCCCGACCACGAGTGCGCAACGCGCGTTCCCCCCCCCCAGACACCCCCAGTTGAATAAAAGATCCCTCTGGGCAACAAAACGTCCATCGCGCGACTCTTCGAATCTTAGCGCGCTTCCCATCATCCGCCAGGTCCCCGACCACGGAGCAATCCCGAGTCCTTCCCCCCTCAGACTCCCCCCAGTTGAAAATATTTCCCTCCGGGCCTGCACCAACGTCCATCGCGCGACTCTTCGAGTCTATGCGCGCTTCTCGTCATCCGCCAGGCCTTGATCACGGAGCAACCCCGAGCCCGTCTCCCCTCAGATTCCCCCCAGTTGAAAATATTTCCCTCGGGGTCTACACCAACGTCCATCGCGCGACTCTTCGAGTCTATGCGCGCTTCCCGTCATCCGCCAGGTCCCCGACCACGAGTGCGCAACGCGCGTTCCCCCCCCCCCAGACACCCCCAGTTGAATAAAAGATCCCTCTGGGCAACAAAACGTCCATCGCGCGACTCTTCGAGTCTATGCGCGCTTCCCATCATCCGCCAGGTCCCCGACCACGGAGCAATCCCGAGTCCTTCCCCCCTCAGACTCCCCCCAATTGAAAATATTTCCCTCCGGGCCTACAGCAACGTCCATCGCGCGATTCTTCGAGTCTATGCGCGCTTTCCGTCATCCGCCAACGAAAAACAAAATGCAGCCCCGAACCCCATATAATAAGAGATTTTCAAATATGATGCAGATTCAGCCAGAACGTCCAGCTCGCTTCTCGTACCTCGAAGACGCTTCCCGTCATCCGCCGACCCTGTCGGCGTGTAGGAGAGGCTTTTCCGTCTTCCCCACATCGTCGTCGCCTCTTCTGCTTTCCGAGGGCTCCCTACACAAGTCCACACAAAAATTGAACAACGTCGTCCTTCAGTCGAAGGGAAGCCCCTTCCCTTGATCCCTTCCTCGCTGGGGGGCGGGAGGGGGTCCCGGAGCAACTCCCGGCGGGGGGGGGGGAGGGGGGGTCCCGGGGCAACTCCCGGGGGGGGTCCCCCCTCGGATACGCAGCGCCCCGCCTTTCATCCTCCTGCGTCGTGGGGCTCCGTTGGCCCTCCGGGGCCGTCTGCGGGCCCTTTCAGCCTATCTTAAGGCTCCTTGGAGACCTTTCGCCATTTTTAGACTCTCTTGGAAACCTCTGGCGGCACTCTTGACAGCCTCTGCGAGCGCTTTTGGACCTCGCTTGACGCCGTCTTGGAACCCACTCGGGCCACTTGAGGGCGCTCTTTGCCTATCTTGGCACTCTCTGGAGCCGTTCCCGAACCCTGGAGGAGGCCTCTTGAGCTGTCTTCGGACGACCTTGCAGGCATCTGGCGCCGTCTTCGAGCCATCTGAGGGCATCTTGGACTCCTCTACCTCCATTGTCTTCGCCGTCGCTGCCTACAGGGCCGGCGGCATCGGCCGTAAGGCCTTCGCAATACGCTTTGCTCCCAAGTCTGGATCATGCGCGGACGCCTCGCGCTTACATTGCATTCATGTTTGACAGGGATGGTGGGGGTGCTGGCACATTGCCTGCTTTGTGCAGGTCCACCATCCGCTTCGTTAGAAAAAAAACAAGCTCATTTTGCCAGGGACCGTGGGGAGGGTGGCATACAGCCTGCTGTGCGCAGGCCATCTCTACAACGCGATCGTGGGCGGACGCCCGCACACAACAAACCCGCCATCCCTTTGAGTTGTTTGTTCGCAGGGACGGTGAGAGGGTCAATGTATTGCCCAATGTGGCGCACCTGGTGTGCGTGGCGCAGCTGGCATGTGCGGCGCACGTCGTGGGCTTCGCGCACCTGGCTGGCGTCTGTATTGGTTCCCGATGGTTGTCGGTGGCGGCCCCTGTCCATGCTGAGACTCGGGTGCTACTTATGTGTTTGGGGAAATGAGCGAGACGGCTTGTTGCTTGTGGGTAGCTTGACCCCTCCACCTACCCCCCCCCTCCCCTGGGTCTAGACGGGGGCGGGGCGACCGATTGGAGCGTCCGAGACGGCCTAATCTTGTTCCCAAAAGGCCCCAGGTAGTCAAAGACGGCCTCCGAAATGGCTCAAGATAGCGCGAAATCGCTCAACATGTGTTCGAACATGCTTCAGTCCAAAGACCGCTCCAAGACGGATCCAAGTGGATTGACAGGATTCCCCCTAGGAGCCAAACTCCTTCCGAATGTATGGAACATCAATGCTCCCAAGACGCCCCAAGAGGCCCCAGGGAAGTCCACAAGACGCCCTTCGAGGCCGCAAAGAGCCTCCCAGGAGACATCCGAAGCGACTCCGAGAGGCATACAAGAGGCCTCTAATTCACTGAGGCTCCCAGAAGAATCCAAATTATACCATGCTCCCCCCCTCAGAGCAGCTCCCCTAAGATTCGTTCCTGGATGGGCTGGTGAGGATACGCGATGTGCTCAGAATTCTCTTGATTGGTGATGGGCAGCTCCGTCGATCATGTATCCCCCAGCCTCGCACGACCCCGGTTTGGGACGACATCTGGCCCGAAGGAGGCCCAAGATCTGCCCAAACCACTTTTTGACTATCCAGGATCAGCCGACGGTCGCTCCCAGACCCTCTCCGAACGGACACAACACCGCCGTGCAAAACACCCCCGAACCGCACCGCACCGCACCGCACCGCACCGCACACACACACACACACACACACACACACACACACACACACACACACACACACACACACACACACACACACACACACACACACACACACACACACCTGCAAACGGCCCCCACGAGGCCCCTGCGAGGCCGCCAAGATCGCAGGAGGCAACGCGCACAGCATTGATCTCAACGGTCTTCCTAAACTTGAACCTTCACTTGAGCGTTTCCTCGGTCTTACCTGTGTGCGGTATGAAATGGCGACGCTGAATTAGAACAGCGAAACATGGAAAGGGGGGTCTCCACATGGTGTAGAAGTAGCGTCGCATACTTAAACGGATTCTGCCTTGGCTCAGCTGGGGATCGGATTGGACCTTCAGGAGTTCGAGCCTCGTTCATGCTTTTGACAAAGCGCACAGCGCCATTTCACATGGACTTTCTAGTGCGGCCGTGTTCTTCTAAGTATTGACCCCATTGCATGGATACTTGCTTTCCCAGTTGGCCTCTTCATTATCCACTCCTCTTGTTCCCTCCCCTCCTCCACCTCGTCCTTGCCAACAGCTCTCAAGAGGCAGCGCATCATTTGTGTAACGCCACAGCCACGCCACCCTGCAACATTGCTGCGCTGCTTGCCCAACAACTGTAACGAATATGCGTGGCGGGGTAATCCTGGCAAGCTCATCACATGTAAGATGAACGACGATACGGACTAGCTTAACTGCTTAGATGCGCGAAGATGTTTATCTCAAGCTACTTGCTTCCGGCCCACCACTTTTTCCCAATCGTGAAGACATATGTGGTAAAGTACCGCTAACATCCCCCGTGCCACTTAGGACTTTCTGGCGCACATTAACTGCTGTCCTCGCAATGGTTTTGAGAGAAACCGTTGTCACCATTGTGCGAAGAACCATTGCCGCTATGTCGTCACAACTCCAAGTCATCACATCAAAAAGATTTAACATGCGTGGTCCGTGATGGATCCCGCTATGCTTAGGCCGAGGACTCGCAAGTTGGCGATTCTCTTCTGAGCTTGCCGCTTGCTAGCAGGTCTCTGCTCCTCAATGGTCTCAGCCCCCAGGCTGGGCAGCCCGCCCGCTCTCCAGAGAGGGGATGCGGCGATGCACCATATGGCCATGTGGGCGCGCATCTGCTCCTTTGACAGATTCCCGTTGCCTGCGGGCAAAGAAGGACAACAACGCATGCACAATCAGTCACGACGGCCCAGCGCAAACGCTGCGGATACGAGGCGCAGGGCTGGAGGAATTCATCCGCTCCACTGGGAGCTCCCAGAGTCACTGCGAAGTGTGGTAACCAACAGAGCCCTGGGCAAGACCCGTCCACACCACGCCACAACAAAAAGAACACGGAACAATCAGCGTGGACTGAGGTTGAAACCGTTGCGCCCACGCCGGTTGTCCTAGAGAGCGAATGCCATGAATGAATGAAGGAACGTGCTGTCCAAGTGGATGGGTGGCGAAACACATGCACGTTTTGCTCTCCTGGCCCTTCGTGTCACCCCCTGGGGCCTCAACGTCACGACACGCATGGGCACACAAACATGCACACATGTTGAACTATCCGCCGACACCTTGGGGCGACTGGCGTGTGAGATCAACGCCGCTCTCCCAAATCAATCCTTCGCAGGAGGATTCCCAGACGATGCAAGTGGCCAAGACGCTCCAACGGAGCCGCTCAGAAGCCTCAAGAAGCGCACGAGAGGCCCCAAGAGAGGCTTCAAGAGATTCCAAGAGAGACCCCAGATAGCCACGTTCCTGTAGTTCATTTAGGTGCAATTATTATCGGCGTTGGCCTCCAGACTTCTAACCAGGGCTCCACGACAAAAATGGCTCGAAGAGAGCCCAAGAGGGCCTGAGGGGGTACCAAGTCGCATCCAAGACAGTTCAAATAGGACCCCGAAGAGGACAGGATTACTGAATTGTTTAAGTTTGCATTGGGTGCAATCGTCCATAACGGCCCAGGAAGTCCCCAAGGGTTTCCAAGCTCGAGACTGCATCAAAAGAGTGCCCCCAGACCTAAGACGCTCCACGAGGGCCCCCAGATGGCCGCCAGATGGCACAGAGGGGCCGCCGACAGCCAGAGAGGGCCTCAGGTGGCCCAAGAAGGCCCCAAGAGAGTTCCAAGACGGTTCCAAGACACCCCCACGACCAAGAGAGGCTCTAGAGGGCCCAAGAGGGCCTAAAGAGGACCTCTAAGGCCCCCAACACAACCCAAGAGGTCTCCAAGACAGACTCAACATGACCCAATGAAAGCACCAGAAGGCGGACGCAGAGAAGGAGCAGAAGGAGAGGAGGAGGAGGAGGAGAAGGAGGAGGAGGGGAGGAGGAGGAGGAGCATGACCAGCGTAAGCCGAATCTGCATCAACGATGCTGAAATGCACTCTCGCAGCACGTCTCCTCCTCATAACACGCCTGTGCAAGTAGTCATGCTCGCTACGGGGAGCACCCTCTTCCAAGACGAACGCTCAATTGCTTGCCATACGGGTGATAAACAAAACATGCCGAAAAAGTTAGATCGGAAAATCCAAGTAAATGTCCAGCGAAAGACTTGCGTTGAAAAGAAGGCGCCTCCATTCGTGCAAATGCTGCACAGAATTCTAAGATTCTGGTTGCAAGATGTGAAGAAACTTGGAAAGAGAGCCCCATTTTGAAAACTAGCTGGCCTCCACCTGTGTAACTAGCTCTTGCACGACCTGAATCATATGGCCATCATCATCGACAAAAATCATAAAGAACTCATCCGGAGCCCTCCAGCCGTGTAATTGTTGCAGTTTTGATACGAATGAGCGTGGCGCTAGCACAAATGTGCGCGGCGCTATGGCGAGACGTGGGTGCCAAAAACCATTCCCCTCCACCGGTGTATTCAAGTGTTGGGGCTTCGAATTTCAGAATGTTAAATGATTAAGTCTCAAGCGAAACACCTGGCCCACCCTGTTGACACATCTGGTGCGTGCGCATGTTGCTGTTATTGCCATGCAGGGCGCGCTTTTTGTAGACTGTTGCCCCGCAGGGCTTGTTCTTTTGGCATTATGACATCGCAGACAACACTTTTTGGTGTCACGGCCCCGCAAGGCGCGTCTATTTTACCAGTATGGCCCCGCAGAGCGTGTTTTTGTTGCACTATGGCCCTGCAGAGCGCATATTATTGGTGCCATGGCCTCGCAGAGCGAATGCTTTTGGTATCACTGCCTTGCAGAGCCATTGAGGCAACAATGGGGACAACCATCGGGCCAACGATCCGGACAACTATCTGGACAACCATCCAGACAACTATCGGGACAACCGTCGGGACAACCATCAAGACAACCATTGAGACGACCGTCGGGGCAACCATCGGAACAGCCGTCGGGACAAACATCGAGAAAATAATCGGGACAACCATCGGGACAACCTATCGGGACAACCCCGCACCACGGCCGCCGCGGGGGCGACTCATTCTGTCTGATCTGGCCGCTACTGGACAACGAACTCGCGCAACTTCGCCTCGTCCGCACGTCACGCACGAAAAGAACCGACACCGAAATCGATTTCCCCGTTGGGGCAACTCACGTGTCACTTCGGTCTCACTCCCAACCTCCGATCTTGGTCTATCTGGATAACCCTGGGGCAACTGGGGGCCACGGACCGGACCAGGGGGGCGCAACATGTTCGTCTGGCTTGGCTCCTACGCGGGCAGGAACTGGCGCAGCTTCGCCTCGCCCGCGCGCAAGTCACGCAGGAAAAGAAAACGATGTCCCAGTTGGGGCACCTCACGTCCTAGTTCGGTTTCCCACCCCAAAAAAAAAACTTTAAGAGAAAGCCTGGATCCGCCGACCCCCGCTGGCCGGGGGCAAGAAGGCCTGTGGAACGATTGGCTGTCCCCCTCCCAAGCCCCGCTCGAGGAAGGGGGGGGGACGAGCTTGTCAACGCACCTCTGGGGCCCTCGGAGTCTTCAAGAAGGGCGCCAACACGCCCGGAAGGCCGAAGACAGCTCAAGAGGCCTCCAAGACGCCCCAAGATGGACCCAAAAGAACTCACAAGAGGGATTCAGTCCATATATATATATATATATATATATATAAGTGTATGGAATGAGTTCGCGTTCTCGCCATCTCGGCCACCCACCACCCAAGACCAGCCCATGACAGCCAAAGAAGCCCTCAAGAAAGCCCATATATTGCCCAAGAGGGATCCAATACGGCCCAAAAGGTTTTCAAGAGGCCCCCAAGAAGGGCCCCAAAAGGGGAATTCGTAGGGGCCCTGTGAGCCCTCCCCCACAGGATGATCTCCAAGACTCCCAACGTGCCCCAAGAGGCCCCGAAGAAGCCCCCCAGGAGCCTCGAAACGGCTCCCAAGAGACCGCCCCCGAGGCCTCCAAAAGACCACCCGGGAAACCCCGCAGCAGACGCAAAGGCAGAAAAACGATAAACCAGTAACAACCATACGCAATCGGCACGACGGAAAACGGCGCACAGCAGATACGCACTCGGCAACTGCGCATATGATCTTCTGCGTTGGCGGAATGGTATACGCAGTTTGAAAAGGGGTTGGGAGGCCGAACCAGCAGCTTCGCCTTAGGCGAATAAAAGCTCCAGCTCTGTTGTACCGTAGTAACGATCGTCCCAGTAGGAGAGGAAATGTGCCATCTTAAGGAACAGGAATATCCTTTTGGTTTCGATAGCGAATCGTATGCTTCGCAATGAGGCACCGTCATATTTGGGCGGCCAGCCGCTTAAGCCGACGCGGCCGCGGGCACACGCTCGCTTCCGCCCCCTGCGTCCCCCAGCTCAATTTAGAGTCGGGGGTGAGGGAGGCGAAGCGTGAGTCCGCCGCCCCTATACAGCAGGTGCAGCAGCTACTATACAAAAGGACAGAAAAAGGGCGGGCCATAAGGAAGGTGGACCTGCACGCAAGTTGCCTTGCCTGTACGATTCTGTACTTAAAGGTGCTCCTCAGGCGGCTACAGAACCAGATGTCTGGCCGGCCCGATAGGGAGTATGACTCTTTAGGTCATGTTTGAAGGCCTGTATACCTCCCATGACCTGTAGGAGCATCTCTCGGTCGATACTCACCATGGTGTGACCGTCCGCAGTCATATCGCGGGTGTCGCACCACTGAATACTGTGCACGAACCCGCGCTCCATCATCTGTCGTATCCAACTGATGTGTCCTAAGAGGGTAAACCCAGTCGGCTTCTCCAAGCCTTTGCTTGACAAGGACTTAAACAACAGACTCAGCATCTATGGTCAAAGTGACCTTGATGCTCAGGCCACCCAACTCAAGTATGTCTTTCAACTGAGTGGGCGTGAGCGGCCCTGCGTGGAGCTCGTGCAGGGTCACGATCGTGGGATAACAGTCTTCCAAATTATTGGCTGCTGCTAGTGTCTCTGCTGAATAACTCGAGCGGACCTGCAAGCGGTGAGACTTGCAGTACGCATCGATCAAGTGGACGACGGGTTTACCGGATGGCGGCGTGTCCACGCCGTTGCAGGTTTGCCCCGCGAATACCACAGCCTTTGACGTCGTCATCGGCGTCTCCACTCAGGCGTCGGCATCCAGAGTCGCCGTGCAGGTCGACCTCGCCCGTAGGGGTCATCGCCTGATAGGCGATCTTCTCGGGGCAGGCCTGCAGCTTCCTGGTGATCGCGTTCGGCCGCCGTACTTGAATATTGGTCGATTCTTGGACACGTTGTTGAGATACGACGTACACCATCAACCACACCTGGGTGATTAATGCATGCGCCAGCCCCCCCCCTGAGGCTGACGAACATGTCTGCAACCATCTTGGATGCCTGAGCGTCAGCGCCGGCGCCGGTAAGTTCAGGAAGTTGTATAGGACGGAGCTGCTTGATATATTCGTCTTTGTTCAAAGTAACATTACCGTCCTCATCCTTTGTATCTCTCACAGCGCAATTCGTGCATGTGTGTTTGTTGAGTTTACACTTACCAAAGGTGTCTTCTACACACTTGACACACTTGTCAATGGTGTCCTCATTCCCGGTCATATTGATATTATCAACATGTTTGGCCGTAAGCAGGTTGCTGCTCGTCTCGAATTCCTCGTCGTAGGACGTGGGTCGGGGACCGCAGCCTCGCGTGGTCCTTCTGAGCTTTAGTGAGAAAGCTCGCGGTGCGTCTTTGGTGCCAGTGACTGGTTTAAGGCGCTGCAAGCAATGC